CTGTCACACACACAGAGCTGAGGACACACACACACACACACACACACACACACACACACACACACACTTTCATACACAGTTCCTCTCGCATCTGCTCTCAGGCAGCATTTCCAATGTTTTGTGTAAGTCAATTGGATGGGGAACAAAAAAAGCCATTTGCTTGGTATTATTTAAAACAGACTTCATAGGGCCACCCTTTTGTGGAAGCTTTATTTGCACTAAATGAATAATCTTAATTGCATCACTCTCGAATTAAAAATCAATGTTAATCAAGTTGGAAGTAGTAAATATCAGTTTTCATTGTGACTGGGTAGAGGGCATTTTTCTTGTGTTGCAAATAAAAGCACAAGTCAAATAACTTTAAAAGGGCATTATGTTCTGCCGCAAATACAATTGAAACGGATTGTTTAGGAGCAGATCAGAAATGGTACAGAATTTTGCACTTAATTTCCTCAGTTATCATTTACAATAAGAACCTCCGGGCTTGACAGCCAAGTCTAAACAGTAGTAAATTAGTACAAATTTATACTGATTTTACTCTAATAATCGTAATAAAAGCTTATAGATTTGGCACTAATTACATAAATGCCTAATGATCTTGAAAATTACTCTGGTTAGAAATATATTACTAATCTAAACTTTGTTGTTGGCTGGCTCTGAAAAATCAGAACATTAGAAATGGTTCGCTTCACTTGTGCAAAGCACTTTAAATTGTTCAAGTAGTTTAACATATTCACGAGGAAAATAAAGCGCATTAAACTTTATTTACAGCCTTAAATGGAGTTGGAACCTAGCTGAACTTATGAACTTTGACCACAAGATCAGTTTAGGGGCCGGCAGGCGAAACGTGGAGGGCAGCAAGGCGTAAGCGTGCCGGGAGCGTGAACAGACCAAACCCAGGCCGGGGCTGTGCGGATCGAGACTGCTCAGCATAGCGCTCTAGGCCTGAGGCCGGGCCAGACCTGGATAGGCCTGGGGGCCTAGACGCAGAGCCCGCGCGCAAGTTAGCGCGGCGATGGCCAAGCCCAGACGCGGTGCTGGGGCCGCGCGAGCACCACCAGGTCCCGGATGGCTCCATAGGGCAGCCGGAGGCTCGTGCAGCCTTGAGAGCGCAGGCGGGGGGCGCCTCCTGGGTCACGCCGGTACCAAGCCCTCCGCTAGCGGTTACCCTGCCTAGGCCCTCCAAGATCCCAGCTCCTGGAGACCGAGCAGCGCCTTTGAAGCGAGTAGGGCGGGGCAAAGGGAAGGAAACAGCTGCTTGGAGAAACTCGGGAGGAAAGATTAAGCGAGGCTGGGCCCAGACGCTCAGGGCCAGGCCGAGGCGACCGGCTGCTTTTCCCTGCTTGCTCGGGGGCTGGAGCCGCCTGGGCTGCCGCCGCCTCCTCCGGGCGGGCGGGCGCGGGCGGGCGGGCGGAGTGGGGGACTCTCCGGGCGCTGACATTTGCAGTCTGCCCTCCTGATTGGTCCCCTCGCCGAGCTGCTCATGGGTTCATTCAACTGTTAAGCACCTCCCCGTCTCTCTAAAGGACATTATAATGCAAGAAGCCCCCTTTTTAACCACAAACCGAATTTTCTTTCATTTAGGTGATCTATATATATCTATATCGTATAGCTTATAGCTTATATCTATTTTAAATAACTTAAAGCCGCTAAAATTTGGGGGGGAACAGCTTTCGCCCTGGAGCGGTGCGCGATGCTGTCTCACGCCGACCTCCTGGACGCCAGGCTAGGTGAGTGCGCGCCTCTCGCCCTGGCAGCCAGGAGAAGCCGGGGCAGGAAATTGTCAATTTGTTCCTTATTTTGCCTTAATGCGGCCTAAATGGGCTAATTTCTTTAAAAGTAATTGTGCTGCATTAAAGTTTAATTTGATTTAACATCGTCTTAAAAAAAAAATCTATGGAATATGTAGATCCAAAAAAGGAGTTGGGAAATGTTGTTACGTTTTGTTTTCCTTATTTTTCTTTTCCCCACCCCCTTTTATATTTTTGAAAGGCGATCTATCCCGTGATAATTTGTTTGGAGGTGTTTCTCTTCTTCCCCCTCCTGTTTGCTTTGATTGGAATTCTTTACTCTTCGACTGTCCCCTTTCCCTCGTGGTCTCTCCTCTCTACCTTCTTCCCTCCTATGGGCGAATTTGTTAAAAAATCTAGCAAGAAGCAGCTACTGCCATCGAGGCAGATTTGCTAATCGTGCTGTTCGGAGAAAAGCCATATTCCTCCTTGCAGGCACCCCGCCTTCGGCAAGAGACTCGACGTGGTCAATGGCTCCCAGAAAAGCATCTTTTCTGTCTCCGGAAAGAAAAGTTGAATTCTCTAAAGTTTGATTCACTTTTCTGTCTGCAGAGTTTCCTGTAATGCCGTCGGGGGTGCTGGGTTCTGGGTTTCCGGTTTGGGAATCTTTGGTGATGGATGTGATTCCATTTTCCAAACATTTTCTCTGATTTGAGGGGGAGGCGGAGCTGATTTGGGCTGATTTCGGGGGGTGGAAGATTTGGAGACAAATTCATCTTCAGAAGGTGAGAGGGGTGCGGCTGAGGGCCTGAGAGGTAGAGTTCGCTGGGTTGCCAAAGTGCAGGTGGGGCAATATTATTTCTTTTCCTTTCTCTCTTCTTCTTGCTTCTTTTTTTCTCATTCTGATCCTCCTGGTCTCATGATTTGTTCTCGGTTTCCCTGCGTGCTGTGGGTATAGTTTATGAAAGGAACTCTGAAGCATGTTTTATTGCTCAGACAAGAGCGTTTTTTTTTGTTGTGGTGAGAGGAAATCCACAGGAGCCGGCTGCAGAGAGAAGGGAGAGGCCCCAGAGCTGTTACTCCAGCCCGGCTTACGGAAGTCCGCTAAGCGCTCCAGAAGTTTCGCCCACAGGGCGAACCTGGGCGAAAATGGGGCTGAAGGAGGATGCGCGGGCATGGCAGTCCCTCCTGGGCTCACCAGAAAAGTCGTGACCAAGACTCCTTTGCTTCCTTAGGTATGAAAGATGCCGCTGAGCTTCTGGGCCACCGGGAGGCGGTGAAGTGTAGGCTGGGCGTGGGGGGCTCGGACCCCGGGGGCCATCCGGGAGACCTGGCGCCCAACTCCGACCCGGTCGAGGGAACCACACTGCTGCCAGGGGAGGACATCACCACAGTAGGGTCCACACCAGCCTCGCTGGCGGTGAGCGCCAAGGACCCAGACAAGCAACAGGGGCCCCAGGGCGGCCCGAACCCCAGCCAAGGCGGCCAGCAGCAGGGCCAGCAGAAGCAGAAGCGCCACCGGACGCGCTTCACCCCCGCACAGCTCAATGAGTTGGAGAGAAGCTTCGCCAAGACTCACTACCCCGACATCTTCATGCGCGAGGAGCTGGCGCTGCGTATCGGGCTTACTGAGTCTCGAGTGCAGGTATGGTGGGCTTGGGAGCCCCGGCAGAAGGGCGCGGGAGGATCTAGTAAGAGGGAAAGGAGTCTTTCCGTCTTTCCTTGTGCTCCCGGGATCTTGGGCTTCGCCTCTACTGTCGAGCTGAGTCCTTCTCTGACCTGACACTGTGTTGCCAGTCACCATCTGCAGTGAACACTCAGGGTCCCCATTTCTCGCTGGCTTATGCACATCCCTGCAGAGTACTCCAAAGAGCAGCCACGCATTGTTCGGCTGCTGGATATATGCGCTTTCCTCCCGAGAAGGGAACCTCCGCGGGCTTCTCTGCAGCTAAGCAGAGCTCGAGGCTGCATAATTGACAAGTATTTCATTATCCCTAATGAGTTTGTGCTAAGCGCTGGGTAAAAGCGGAATGCAACAATTACACACCAAACACAGGCAGGGAAGATTAGGTACCTTTTCCTAAAGAGCCACACCCAGGTTTCACAGTGCGGCTTTATTCTCCTCAATATCACTTTTCAGTCCTCTCATGAAAATTCTCCTAGCTTTGACGTTAGCCAGGAGTTTGTTTTAGATGGTCTTCAAGTCTCCCAAAGCCTAGGAACGCTAGATTTTTTTTTCAGAGACCCTAAGAGGAAGTGGGGCGTGGGGGGGGGGATGCGGAAAGGTGGAAAGAAGACTTTTTGTTGTGAATATCTGACCGAAAGACAGGACATTTAGAGCAGGAATGGTTGACAGGTAGATGAAATCGTTACTGACTCACCATTATCATCTAATCATCCTCCAAGTTACAAATTATAAATAATCTAGAAAATTACATTACAACTTTCTTGGAAATTGATGAGAAAAGTAGAATCCCAAAGAAAGCCAAGATTTTTTTAATGAATGAAAACAATGCTTCCAGTATTTTATGGATAAACGCTGGTGATGGAAAGGCAATAGACACTTAGTTTTGAGCTCTCCACGGTGCTGAAAACCTTCCTCGGCTCTGTTGGACGTGTGTATTTTCTGTCGGATATCCTGAGTGTCAATCTAACTCGTCGTTAAGCCAGAACTGACTACTTAAAAAAAAATCAACATAAATAAAGATCAGTTATTTTATATTCACACTAAGAAGCAAACGATAAGGATATGCATAATCACAGTGCTGAATATTCCTATATCTTGGCATTTTAAAGCAAGTGTAAATTAGAAAAACAGCATATGTTTCTATTCTGAGAGTCAGAAAATGAATGCCATCAGGGACTTAAAGTGCTCAAATTAATTAGATAATATGCGGGACATAACACAGTGATTAATATATTCACCCAACATAACTCTAGGTAGTTTACCTAGTGAACTCTGGAAGATCATCGAAGACCACTGACCATTGAAATGACACATCAAAAGAGGACATGTTGATTTGTGTGGAAGTATTATTAACGCTTTTAAAATATTTTAGTTGAACACCCTTGATAAATCTTAAGTTGAGCTCAAGGTTTGACAAATACAATTTCACACTTCCATTAATGCTAATGACAACCTTACTATGTTAAGCCACTGTAGGTTCAAAACTTATAAATTTGCTTTCAGAGAAATATGATCTATTATTTTTATTTTAAAAATGAAAATATTGTTACTTAGCCTGGTCATATTAGTTTATGTAATTAGTTTACATTGAAGTAGAATTAATAATCACAAACAAAATGTAATTGTACAATTGATTACATGAAAAAGAAAATGAGATCTATTAAACTTTACTAGGCCTTCTAAAGGTTAATGACAAAAATTCTTTTAATAGAGAAAATTATAAATGAAATAAAATATAAACTATGTAATAGAAACTGTTCTTTTCAAAAAGTACACAAAAGAACTTTTGCAAGTCAAAAGAGACAAAGTATTTTAATTGTTGTAGCATAATGTTCAAGGAAAGATAATAGCTTGAGGCTGATGATAGAAACAATTAGAATGGCAATTTCAATAATTTTAAAAATAATGTTCTATAGTTTAAAAAGTAATCAGATCAACATAACCTTCTTAATTAACATTTCAAAATGATTAACATTATGTAATGTAATGCAAAAATAGTTTATGGAAAATGTATTGACTTCACAATTCACTGTACCATTGCTCCTTGACCAAATTAAAATCACATAGTAATTGGTTTATGTTCTTATATGATGAGTACTTTATAGTTTTTCTTTATAGTTAACATACTGCCATACCCTTTTTTCAGTCTGTAGGCCATTGCGCTGATTAAAAAGGATCTAAATGTTTAATTTATTGCTATTGTATTTGAAGAATGCATTTTTACTCTAGACTAAATTACACAACATCATTATTTTCTATTTATACCTGAATATATCATACTTTTAGGTATTAAAGTGACTCTACTCACAGGGAGGACAATTTCATGTCTGATGTTGCTCCCCTTTCTGACTACTGTAATAAAACCATTCCTTTTATAGCATGCCATTATTAGAAACCAATTTCAGAATTATTTATAACCTGGAATGGCTTATTAAGCAGCAATGCGAGAATCATGCAAATTACGCGATCAAATGCAATATAATAAGCATAATCATTAGTCTCTAGCACGGATTAATTAACTTTCAATATTTTATTTACATAAAAACCAAATCAGTGAAATAACTTCTGCACAGTCAGGCTTGCCTTTCAATATTTTATACGAACAAAAATAATGTGCTGTAATTCCATTGACCGTGTCCCCCAGAATGGCCCTGTCACCTGCCACATCTTAATAGGGGGACAAGCTGAGAGTATTTTCTAGTTTTCTAATGGAATGAGAAATTGCATTTTCTTCCTCTCCCAGCACTATTAAAGTGTAATGAATTCGGCCCAGAGTTCACGGCTGGCTGATCGAAATGAACCTGAGATCCAGACTTTAATACAGCTCCCCAGATTTCCTCCCAAATCTTCACATTAATCATTTGCTGGATTCCAATGAGATCTTCATAAAGCGTTTGCTTTGAGGGGGGGGGAAGTAATATTCTCTCCTTCTCCTCCTCTTTCTCTATTTCGGAGCCATTTATAGCTGGGGAATTAAACGGGCTATATATTTTAAAATACATTTACAGTATGTCTATATTACTGTAACAGCAGATATCACGAAAGTGGATTTTTAGATTCCAACCTCCATTAGATTCTCACTGTTGTATTAAGCATTTTCAGAGAAGAGCCGCATTTCACACTGACTACAAAGTTGGCCTGTGGCTGTGGTTAATATATTTCCTAGAGTTGTCATCTGTGTATTCTCAAAATCTCCCTTAGGTTTTGCCTGCATTTTAATCCGTCATGCTCTAGTTTTCAAGTGGAAACATTCACATTTTAAAAACATATGCATCATGGATTGGAACGGAAGTGCTCACACCCCATGCAGATTTTTCTCCCAACCCCAGTAAGCCATGAAACATAAAACATTTTGTAGCCACCATTTGACTACTAACCCTCAAACGTAGTTGAGCACGATTTTTTCGATTATTTCTACAATATTTAGTTATTTCCCGGTGTTCTTTTACGCCTGTGCGTGAGCAGATCTGGAGCCAAACACCTTTCTGGCGGGTATCTTACAGAAACGATGTGGTGCAATGCCCTCTTCACTCTTTGCATTCTCTTATCGTCATCTCTGCTCTCCTGCCTCAAACACCGGCTTGAGAAGCCTTAAAATAAGGTGCAGGGTGGTAGGAACAGGTCTTGAGTGTATAGCTAGCTTCCAAAATATATTTGGGTGCAGCTTGTGAAGCGTGAGAATCGTTTGGACAGAAGGTCTCGGCTCTGTCCCTTGTACCTTTCTTTCCCCAGTTCAGCTTTGGGTGGGTGGGTTCTGCAAAGCAATCTATGGCGGTTCCCAGCCAAAGCTGGCTAACAGCTCAATTGGGGACCCGGGCCACATTGATCTCAGTCCACCAACAAGGCCTCTGCTGCTTCATTAATCCGCCGTGCCACCAACTCTAGGACTGACACTCAGCCTACTAAGTCAATGTGGGAAATGGGGTAGAAACCAGAGAAAGACAAAGTGGTGAGCGCAGGTATGTAAAAAGGTTTGTCAGGGCTGGCCGCAAGTGAAGGCAGAACTCTCATTGCAGTTCACACTGGTCTTCACATCCCTGTAAACGTGTCTTCACTTGCAGAGATGTGATAACACCGCTGAGCAAGGCTGCTTTACGGAGATGGGGGTGCAGGTAGGGTCACACTCATAACACTAGCTTGTAGAGTAAACACTAAGTAGGTTGATTAACAGATGAATAACGTTTTGGCCACTGATAGGTGGTCCAATTGCGTTAGCTAAATTCTAAAAGGAAACTCAATCAGTACCTGAGCTGTGTCCCACATCATTCATATTTATGCATAGTAAATCTCCAGCTGACTAGATGTTAAACCACCAGCCTGCCAAATGGACATACTGGCAGTTATTTAGAGAAACAGAAAGACACAAGACACAAGCTGCCAACTTATTTCAGACAGAACTCTTCTTTTATGGTATGGAAATTGATGTTCATAGGCGAATTTGTCTGGTAGTACATGAAATTCTGAGGCCGCTCTTAAGAAACAGTAAGAGGCTTATTTTCATCTGGAGTTTATTTTATCAGATATGCATCCCTGGGGGTGAGGGGGGGAAGACATCGGAGTTTAAGAAAAATAAAGTTTGAGCCAGAGCTAATTTGAACCTTAAACTTGACCTTTAATTTCTAATGACCAGAGAATTTAGACTGCGGATGAAAGGGGGGGGGGTGTCTTGAGGGAATTGAAGGCCTTCCTGTATGGGATACTGAGTAAATTCCTCTACAGGAATAGACTTGAAGGCCCGGGTTCCAGCTCCGTATAGCCTAGACAAAGGTGTGGAGCATAGAGACATGGGATAGCAGAGGCAGGTTCTAGCCGAGGAATCAGAAGACGTGTTGGTGACCCCAAACAACACTGGCTCAGTGGCGCTCACTTTCCCACATGGATCACTATATTAACCTTTCTGCTCTGTCAACCATGGCGGTAGGAGCTTTCCTTTGTCTTTCGATTTTGAAACTGGCTATGTCACTTTTGGTCCTTCATCAATTTCCAGATTTTCACGTTTCTGAAAATTCCATACCCCATCAGTGTTATAAGGCATGCTATTAAGCCACATGGGTACACATGTTTGTCTTCATTTGTACACCTGTGGGCCGAACCTTGACACGCGCATGCCTGCAGACCTGCACATCTGTGCAGAGTACAGGATGTGTCCAGGTGCAGGGGCGAAGTGAATAGCAGAGCACCGAGATTTATTAAGCGCGATGTTTGTGCGCCAGGCGCCGTTTGTTAGGAAAAACAGTGGAGAATCAGTCTCTCCTTAGTGTGAGAGCCCGTCCAGGCCTGTGAAAGCCAAGCGAACGCATCTGACAGGGGTTTCTCTGGCTCGGGGCCCCCGTGCCTCTCCTCTGACTGGCTGTGTAACTGTGCCTTGTCCGTCTCTTGCCCTTTTCTGCTCCAGGTTTGGTTCCAGAACCGACGAGCCAAGTGGAAGAAGCGTAAGAAGACGACCAACGTGTTCCGCGCGCCTGGCACGCTGCTGCCCACGCCAGGCCTTCCTCAGTTTCCATCCGCCGCGGCCGCGGCCGCTGCCGCCATGGGCGACAGCTTGTGTTCCTTCCACGCCAACGACACCCGCTGGGCGGCAGCCGCGATGCCGGGCGTGTCCCAACTGCCGCTGCCGCCCGCGCTGGGCAGGCAGCAGGCCATGGCGCAGTCGCTGTCCCAGTGCAGCCTGGCGGCCGGACCGCCGCCCAACTCCATGGGTTTGTCCAACAGCCTGGCGGGCTCTAACGGCGCTGGGCTGCAGTCACACCTCTACCAGCCTGCATTCCCCGGCATGGTGCCCGCCTCCCTCCCCGGCCCCAGCAACGTCTCCGGCTCGCCCCAGCTTTGCAGCTCCCCGGACAGCAGCGACGTGTGGCGGGGCACTAGCATCGCCTCCCTCCGCCGCAAGGCGCTAGAGCACACAGTCTCCATGAGCTTCACTTAATACCGCCGCGCCCGGCCCCCTCCACCCGGGGAGACGCCCCCTAGAGCCGCCCAGAGGTCCTTCCGGCGCGCGCCCCGGCTCCCCACGTCCCGGCCCCCTGCCTGGTCCCGCGCCCCTGCCCGGGTCTCGTTCAGTCCACGCCTTTCGCCTCCACCTCCCCGGGCTCGCCCCAAGCCCTGGCTCCGAGGCCTCCTCCCCGCCTGATCTCGGCCGCCCGCGGCCCCTCCCCCAGGCCCCCTTTCCTCCTTCTCGCAGCCCCTTTCCTTAATCCTCCCGCCAACGTCTCACCCCGTGCCCACACGCGACCCCCGGCCTCCCAGCCCGCACTGGTCGTGCTTGCGCGCTCGACGCGCCTTCCTCTCCGCCTCCTGTTTTGGCGGCGTTCCCACCCACAGTTTGGACACGACGCCCACGGCCCCCTCGCTCGACACCTCCCTTCTTGTCTCGTCTTTCCTCGCATCTCACGCCCCTCCTTCTCGCGCCCTGCCGAAAGTACCCCTTCCCACCATTTTACTTACCAGGGAGTCGACTCAGGATCTGAAATCAGACACCAATGGACTTGGTTTGTGGGCAGAAACACATACACACTCGCACTCTGGCTCACTCTTGGACAAGATGCGAACACGCGCACGCCACACACACACACACACACACACACACACACACACTCGCGTGCACCTAGGTCACACACGGACAGGTTCAAGGGACAGCACAATGTTAGGGATTTTTGTCTTAAAGGAGGACAAGCATCTGCCTCTTCTGAGGGCCAAACTGATAGAATTTGGTTTATTCTTGTATTCTTCTTTCGAACTCCTCTTTCACTTCCCACTATATTACCCTTGTCCTGTCCACAAGTCACATTCATGTGGCCCTCTATTGGCTTGCAAAAAATGCTCTTGGGTTTTTTCCCTTTATTTTTATTTTCTTAAGCACAACTGTGTGAGGGTATCGATGGGAAGGCAGGTTTCTCTTGAGGAACAAAGTAGTGGATTGGGTGGTGGAGTAGACTAAAGCAGTCATGTGTTGAAGAAGAGGTGATTTTACTCATTTTGATAAGTCTTTATAAGGAAGAAAATAAACATTTAAGAAAATCTTTCCTTTTGTAACACAAAAGCCACATCTCTTTTCTGGATCTTTCAGGACTGGCCTTTATTTGCTTCCTCTTTCGTTGTCTTCATTGCTCTGTGCCCTTGGTTGTTTTGTGGTCGTCCTGTCGTCCCTCGTGACCCTCGGCCACCTCCCTGGCCCCTGCCGGCCGCCGGTGGGTGCACTTGGACATCTACAACCCTGCAACTTTGTACAGAGAAACACAATCAGCTCTTTCTGCATGTGCTGGTCAAATCCAAACCCAGAGAACAGAAGCGCTTTCTATGAATGAACAAACATGTGAAATAGGATGTTTTGTGTAGATAAAGCATTCTTGTTACATACTGGTCAATTTGTGATATGTTTTAACTTATTGTCTGTGCTTATTTATGGAATTTGGTTTTCTTAATAAATGTTTGAGCTAATATAAAACATATTATTTGATTTTTCCGGACAAGTTTATATCAAGTTAAATGTAAATGGATAAAAATAAAACCATTTTCAGTATGTGATATGGAGAATTATGGGTTTTGGTGTGACTCTGAATGGCAGGAGGGCCTTAAATCGGAGGAGGGAAAGAGCGATGGTCAGGGGGGTTCTCAGCTCCCACTTAGGCTCCTATTTGGGTGCAGGGTTTCCGTTGGTGGGGGTTTGGGGCGCTTCTGCTCTTTGGTGGGCCTGAGTTCAGTTTCAGGGGTGAAACTGAAAGGCCTCAAGCAGCTGAGGAAGGCCGGCCAGGAACGTTGCCCCGCGATCTGGGGCTCCAAGACCCACAGACCGGAAGTGCACGCGCCCCGCCCGCGAGCTTCCTTAGAACTCAAGACCTCGCGAGGCCTCGAACCCGCACGAGGCTTCCTAGCCCGAGAAGAGACTTGGGCATAGAGTAGGTTAGCTTCTCTGGTGAAAGGTTTCCCTGGGACAAAAGAATCGAGGGCGACCCTGCCTGGCTGAGTTTGTAGGAAAGGGAGTCTGTAGATGGGAGGTGGGCCGCGGTGGAGGAAGCGTCTTGGGACGGGAGAGTGGCTGCTGTTCGCGCCCTCGGGCTGCGGAGGCCCCTGCACCACTTTCCGGCCGGCGCCGCCCGGGGACTCCGTGTCTGGAGAGGCTGTGGCTCCTCTGAGCCTAGGCCTAGCTCGGGCCTTCCAGAAAATAAACAGAGGCTGCTGCGCCCCTTGTGTCCCTAGAACTAGGCTCGGCCTCAGATATCGGGAACCTCTAGAGGGACGAAGGATTTATCAGTAGGATAGACGTGTTCGGGTCCCTCTGGTTGTGGGCGGGCCTCTTCCCGGGTTTTCTCTCGGGGTCCGTGCTTGGCGAAGCTAACCTCAAGTCTAGGCACTTAACCTACCCAAGTAGTGAAAATTGCTGTTTCTTGGTTATTTTGAGGGGGTGAAGTGGTGGATGTCTTTTATACTTAGAGGGAATCGCTTTCGTAGTCTTCGTTTAGAAGACTAACCTAAGTCAGCCTTATGGTTTGACATTTCATGGTCATCACACACATTGATAGTGCACGCTCACCCCAGTATTTCCCCTTTGAGTGACTTAGAATGTTAAGACACCCTCTTCCACAACGCTCTTGTACTAGAGAGCAATGTCTTTCTACTGGGCTCCATGTAAATTTGAGTAAGCATTGTAGTTGGTGGTCAACTAAGGGAATTCAGTGGAATCTCATTAGGAAAGTTACTCCAACTAACCTTCCCCTTTCCACAAACTGGGCATTTTAGTTAGAGGTAAAATTAACAGGTGTTATTCAAGTCTGCATTTTCTAAAGAGTGTTTGTGTCCTAACATTTAAGCATTAAAGGAGAGAAAACACACCCTTTTGTTACTTATTACAAAAAATGGGAAGATTTTTGTAGTTGAGAACTTACCCTAGAAATTTAGCAGCACCGTACCAAATATCTAAAATACCAGTAAATGAAAAATAAGCTTTCTGTTTTAATGTTTTCATCATATTCTCCCTTGCATTAGTGCTCTTTCTCTTTTTAATTTGAAATTGTGGATATTGTAATCTCAAGTCACATTTAAGAGAGGGTACAAATCACAGTTTGCTTCACCAGTGAGCATGGAAGTTGTTTACAAGGATGCTAATTTTACAGCTTTTTTATGCTGCTATAAAGCATAACTTTATGATGTAGGAGTGTAATAAAGGATGCTAAATGGAATCCTTAAAAATTGTATTTCTCAAAGGCAGGGGAAATGGGATCTTTGATATGAAAAAAATAGGCCAACTCAGAACAGTGATGAGAAGTTGCAAATCAACTTAAATGATAGATGCTTTCACGAATACTTATATTTCATAATGTAGTGGTTATTTATCAATATTGTAATGAAAGTATACAGAGTTTTTCACTTAACCTGACTCTAGAATAATATTTAGTTCTATACTAACAGATTTTCATATTAAGAATCTGGAACATTTTAAAGTCTCATATGACATTAGCATAAGGAACGGTAACCTGGCCCAAAATACTAAGGTTGACAGTTAAGACAAAAAAGAAAAAAAAGCAGCCTGAAGGAGTTATTTATTTTGAGAGAAAGAAAAAAAAATATATATCTTAACAGCATCTCATATTATTTGCATGCCTTATAAACAGCTGTTCTGACTCAAAACTGTTAAAGTTATAAAAACTGCTAATTAAATTTCATAAGGATGTAAAGACAGTAATGAGGAATATCAGAACACACGGTAGGTAAGTATAACATGCTACTTGCCCTAGTACTGTGAATTGTCCTTTTTACTCAGAAGCCTATTTGACCCTGGATACTGTAACCACATCTTAGCTAGATTCATTATAATTAGCATTATTATAGAACTTATTTGAATACATACATTCATCCTTTTATCTTAATTTTCTCCTCTAAGTTGTTGCGAAATAGCATCACAAGTGACTTAACAAGTGATGGCCATAGGGCATAGTAATGATGTTGCACTTAGCTTTTGATAGTAGCAAAAGAAATATGATCTAGGATAGCAAGCTACTTGGCATGATGTTGTGTATTGAATACAAAAGAGGATGCAAAGCAGTTTGGTAAATCAAGGTAGATGTAAATAGAGACGATGGAAGAAATTCCGACTGTGGGGGACTTATATTTTGATGTCCTCAATAACTGCTTCTGCTGAAAATGAAAATATGTTTTTAGTTTGTATTGGAGGCTTTAAATTTTAATTTTAGGATAAAGAAAAATTTAGCTCACAAAAATGCGTCTTTTGGTAATGGTGGTAGTTAACCTGTCAGTTGAGAGAATATAACCTTCCTTTTCTCCTTTTCATGACATAAAGGTAATCTCATCTGAGGGCATTTATGTGAAGAAATAACAGCATGGCATGGTGAAACCACTGGCTCATTAATCCTGGCATCTACTTCCTACAGGGTTCCTTGATTAGTTAGATTCATTCATCGGGCATTTCAGATTTTTTGATTTGTCACCATTGGCTAGGTTCACTGAGTTCAGACTAAATTGAGCCAGAAGCAATGTTTATTAGTAATTTTGTAGTACAGGCTACCCTAATAATTCAGCCCAAATATCTCATCTGAAAAATATCCATTCATCCTCAATTCTAATGTGGCTTGCAGCTGTGTTCATAGAGAGTTGAAAGAACACAAGTGATTGGGCATGTATTTTCCAAATTATTAATATGATGGCTAATAGCTGTAAACCCATCTTCGTATCCAATGCAGAAATGATGATTCATTTTAAAAATGAAAGCATGACAAAGGGGGGCATCTCCTGCCTGGCTCTCTGCTAACTCATCACTCCAGAGCTTTTGGTACAGGAACCATGGCTGTTTAGCATGTGGCCATTAGAAAAACAGAACAACGCTTGCTTTTGACTCTTCCCTTTGCATACTCTTATCAAAGTAAGGCGAGGATGTATAACAATTTCTTCAGAATGGTATTGAGGAAGTTTAGGCATGTGACCCTATTGATTATGATGATGTCATAATCAGTTTTAAAGCAGGTTTAGTTAGCTGTTTACATAGTAAAAACTACATCTTCTATCTACATGATCAAACTGAAAATCTCTTTGCTGTTGAGTCAATTCTGACTCTTAAGTGAGCCTGCAGGGGAGAATAGAACTGCTCCAAAAGGCTTCCAAGGTTCTGAGTCTTTACAGAAGCACACTGCCATCTCTGTCTCAGAGTAGCTGGTAGGTTGGAACTACTGACCTTTTGGTTGGCAGCCAAGTGTTTTAACTATTGTACCACCATGGCTCTTCATTAGGAAATATATATGCAAGTTTCCATCTTTAAAACCATATGTGTTTGAGAAACACTTGTTGAATTTTCTTATATGGCTACAATCTCAGTTCTGCATTGAAGTAATCATAGTAACACATAGGTGTTAAAAAAGATATGATAACCCATGTGACATTTGTAGGATAGAGTCTTTATTATATCCATGACATATTAAAATAACACAGGGTTTTGTATGCTTTTAACCTGTAGTCCTTATTGAGTCTATTTAAGAGAATATTCAACTAAGGTCAGATTAAAAACTATAGAAATTCTTAGCATTGAAAAGATTATGATTCATATAATATTAAAAATTACAGCAACATTATTGTAGCTGTAAGTCAGATATGCTGAAATGAAAATAGATACTCTATAAATATTCAGATTACAATATTTTTTCTTTACTGTGATTTTAACTAAAGTTTACAGAGAAGTTTGACTTCTCACTCATTGTTGCACATTTTCTCCCTACCCCACCAGTTTGCTTTTTTAAAAAAAACATTCATTGTTGCATAATTTCCTCCCTCTCTCTCACCCCTCCCCCAGTCTACTTTGCTATGCACCTCTTATTCTGATGGTTGTCATACAAATAATGCCTAATCTTATATTCCTTTTAAACAGTTCTTTCCTTCATCTGTTGCAATGCAGTTTTCATTATTTATCCCCTTTTAGATTCCCCCCAACCTGCACATCAATCTTGTTTTATAACAGTGGTGTTATGCAGTATTTGTTCTTTTATGACAGAGATCTTTCACTAAACATAATGTCCTCCAGGATCACCCATGTTGTATAATATTTTATGAGTTCCTTGTTTTTCAGTGCTGTGTAGAATTCCATTGTATTAATATACCACAGGTTTTTCTATCCATTCATTTGTTGATGGGCGCTTGGGTTGTTTCCATCTCTTTGCTATTGTAAATAATGAGACAATAAGCATGGATTGTATATATCTGTTTGGGTGGCAAGTTCTGGTTTCTTTAGGGTATATTCCTAGTAGTGGAATTGCTGAGCCAAATGGTCTTTCTGTTTCTAGCCTTTTGAGAAAATGCCATATATCCTTCTATAGTGGTTGCCCCTGGGCAGAGGGGAAGCTTGGAAACTGTGCACCGGCGGAAGTCACCTCAGATAATAGCGAAGAGGCATATTGCAGGTACACAGGAAAAGCCGTCGGGAGGAGGTGCTGAGAGCGTGCCCCTGGGCAGAGGGGAAGCCTGGAAACTGTGCACTGGTGGAAGTCACCTCAGATAATAGCGAAGAGGCATATTGCAGGTACACA